ATGTAATTACCTTATCACTTGTATTTATCATGTATATAACCTTATCACAAGAATGCAAACTTATCACATTATATATATATATATCACTTTATATATATATATATATATATATAAACTTTTATTTGAACATTTGATGGAGATAATTGTAGAGTCATATGGAGTTGTAAGAAATAATATGCCATTTACACTTTGTCCAATTTGTCCCAATGGCAACATATTGTAAAACCTACCACATAATCAGGTTATCAACATTCATGCAATCTACCTATCTCATTCAGGTTATTCCAGTTTTTCCTGTCTGCATTTGCATGTGCCTGTGTGTTTGATTCTATACAGTTTGAGCCCCTGAGTAGGTTCATGTTTCCACCACCACTATCAGATGCTGAACAGTTCCATCACCACTGGTATCCACCAGTGTTGCCCTTGCATAATCACACCCACTTCCTCCCGCCTTCCTTCACCCATCCCAAACCCCTGGCAACCACTAATCTTTTTTCTATTTCTAGCATTTTTGTCATTTCAAAAGGTTATATAAATGGAATAATACCATATGTGACCTTTTTGAAATTGGCCTAATTCTTAGGAGAGTCATCCAAGTTGTTTCATGTACCAATCAATAGTTCAGTCCTTTTTATTGCTGAATTATATTCCACAGTTTGGATGTACCAGTTTGTTTAACCATTCACCTGCTGAAGGACATCTGAGCTGATTCGTTTTTGGCTATTATGAATAAAGCTGCTAGGAACATACAAGTTTTTATGTGAACATAAGTTTTCATTTCTCTGGGATAAATGCCCAGGAGTGCAATTTCTGGGTCTTCTGACAGTTGCATGGCTAGTTTTCTAAAAAATTGCCAAACTGTTTTCTAGAAGGCTGTGTTATTTTTTTAAGGATCGGAGAGCTTGTTTGTGTGCGGAAAGGTGAAATTAGATTGTTTGAGCCAGGTCTTTGAAAAGGGGAGAGAGGATGGTTTCCATAGCTCCTGTGGAGGGACTGGCTGGTCTTTTGTAAGGGAGGGGGCACTAGAAGGGGATACAGGTGGGTGGAGAAGCAGATAGCTTTGCAGGTTGTATTAGGAATAAGAGGGAGTTCTTTGCTTCTATTTCCTCAGTAACATAAGAGGTTAAGGAGATGTGTATATACACACACATTTTTATGTTTGTTTGTTTTGGGTTTTTCCCCCCAAACTTTAAATTTTTATTTTTGTATTGGGGTATAGCTGATTAACAATGTTGTGATAGTTTCAGGTGAAGAGCGAAGGGACTCTGCCATACAAATACATGTATCCTTTCTCCCCCAAATCCCTCTCCTATCCAGGATGGCACATAACATTGAGCAGAGTTCCATGTGCTATACTGTAGGTCCTTGTTGGTTATCCATTTTAAGTACACCAGTGTGTATGTGACCCTCTTTTGGGTTTTTTTTTTTTTTTTGGCCACACTGCACACCATGTGGGATCCTAATTCTTTGACCAGGGATTAAACCCAGGTCCCCTGCATTTTAATCACGGAGTCTTGACCACTGGACAGCCAGGGAAGTCCCCTATGTATGTATTTATATATATTCAATCATCCTGTTGTATACCAAAGTCTAATACAAGGTTATATGTCCATTATAGCTCAATAAAACTCGGAGGGGGAAAAGAGGTTAGGCCATCAGCTAAAATGAGAAGCGAAGAGGTTTTGTAGAGGGAGAGTATGTATACAATTCATCCTAGAGAATGGAAATATCGGAGAAATGTAGTAGGAAGTCCCAGGCAGTGCTGAGAGCTCGTTTGAGGTTTGGATTTGTGAAAACAGTCTACCTGGCAGTGTGATTGGCTTCAGCAAAAGCACTGGGAAGGCAAATGGTGGGTTGATCCAGAGTAAGGGTTTTGCCAGCAAGCACCAGAGGAGGAGACAGGGTGAGAGAGGGGCTACAGTGAGGGATGATGGAAATGGAGCTAGAGAATGAGAAACGGGGCAACTGGGGCTCATGAATAGTGAGAAACAAGTAAGGTCAAGGGATCACAGCTCATGAATTGTTGAGGAAGGCTTAGTTAAGGAAAAGGTTGTGGTTGGAGAGTCTATATATTGGAAGTGGTGTGGTTCTGGGTGAAAAAGTTGAGGGTGTGAGTGCAGGAGTGGGCAGCTGCTGTGAACTGTGGGAAATAGCGCTGGAGATGAGGAGGTCAAGGAAATGAGGTGAGGATGTTGGAGAGGCCATTCACAGTGATGTTGAGCTCTCCAAATATAACAAAATTGAGGGCAGAGAGGCAGCGAGGCAAGAACTAAATGAGGGCCATCGACCGGGAAGTTGATTGATGACATCAACCAAAATGGTTATGTCCAGAGGGGGAAGCTTCCAAGGAACTGGGGTTTAGTAGGAGGGACAGGAAGTGCTGTAGAAGGGAGGGGTTTAGAATGGCATTGGGGGTGAAAGAGAAATAGGCTTACCCTCCTCCTGACTGAGGTACACAAGACTGAGAGGAAATTAGCATTCACATGAGAGGGTTGCTAAAGAAGCAGTGTCTTCAGGACAGAGCCAGGTTTCAGGTAAGGCGAAGAGGTGAAGGTAGCATATCGTAAGGCAGGGGCTGGGAGATGTGATCTGGGGCAGAGAGGGGAGCCGGTGTGAGGATGGGGTGATGATAGATGAATGAGACGGGCTGGAACCTGTGACAATGACTGCTGTAAATAGGGTTAGGGGAAGGATGGGATACAGGGCTCTCTGGAACTTTGTGTGGATGGAAAATCTGCAGTGATCAGTGCTGTAACGATGCGCTACATGTGGCTGTGAAGCACATGAAATGTGGGTATTGGGACTGAGGAACTGAATTTTTAACTCCGTTTCATTTTAATTAAGTTTAAATAGCCATGTGTGGCTAGTGGCTGATGTATCTGACAGTACAGATTAGAGGAAGGGAGCTCCCTGTTTTTATGAGTTTTTCACTTGCTGTTCAGGCAGACATCAAGGTGGTCACTCCTTCAAGCAGCAAGTTTTGACAGAGCCCTTCTCACTCCTCCACAATGTGAAAACAAAGCATAGGACAGGCAACTCTGGGTCCAAATTCTAACTCCACTACTTACTAGCTTTGAATTAGAGCAGATAAATTAATTGCCTGGCATATATAGGCCCTTGAAAATATTAGTTGGCAAAATTTCATTTCATGTGTAAAATGGGAGTGGGCAGCTGTTGTAAAAATTAGTGCTTTAGTATGATACTTGATAAATGGTGGCCATTATTGACAGTGAGTTACTATCTGCTGGTTGGTCAAAAATAGTCCTTTAGGTCAAGGGGTTACTTATCCAGTGACGGGTTGGCAGAAGTAAACTACCCCAGCTCCTTTAGGGAGCAGGAGGATTGCCCAGGTCTCTGGGACTATGAGATGTCCCAGGGGTAGGTCAGGGCTGGGTTGAATTGTTCAGTTCTGTTGTGCACTAAGAACATACCTGGCTTGAACGTAGAAAAGCAGGTAGGCATAATCATGGGGACGAGGTGGAGGATCTAAAGTGAGCTGAGTATGGGACCCCGAGGGCCTAGTTGTGCTTAATATCTAGTGATAATCTGGGCAGTTCTGGTTTACCACTTCAATTTTTGCTGTAAAAACCTTAGTTCAGCAGCTCCTGCCTTTCTTCCATCCCTGAATTCCCATCATCTAAAAACTGTAGGCATGTTTTTGTGAAGAAGAGTTATAGTGTCCTAAATGGCTCTAAGGTGGAACATTTGTGACTTGGGGCTACTGTCAACTGGGGGTCATAGTGACCCTTGATCTGGAGTGACTGTGATCACCCTTTCTTTGAAGACATCTCTAATTCCCTAGTAACTTTCTCTGTGGCCTCCCTCAGATTGAGCACTTACCTCATATTATGATGGCCTGCCTGTGTCCCTCTGATCAGATTGTGACATCCAAGGCAAGAACTTTGCCTAGTTGATCATTGAGTATTCCTGGGCTCCAGCACATGCCAGGAACACAAAGTAAGTAGCTGCTCAGTAATTTATCAGTTGCATAAATGAATGAATGGGATTTGAGGTGATAACTGCCCATTGTGATCCGAGATAATGTGACCGCTCTTGTTTGTAGTTTGGGTTGACTATTAACAGTCAGAAGCTCTGATGACTACTGAAGTGTCCGATTGTGGCCTGCAGTCACTGTGATCTGAAGGGTCTGTGCACCGGTGACTGTAACCTGTTGGCGCTGATCTGGGATAAGGTTCGGTAGGGACAGTGCCTGTTAACTAATAACCTTGCATGATTGTGATGCGAAGCTCCTTTAAACAAATCAGCCTTGGTTTCTTCCACTGCTGCTGTCAGGGGTCTGCGATCCTGACCCACAGCCATTAAACTTCAGATGACCTCAGCCTTGACCGTTGCCCTTGGGACCTGTTATTGAGACCCTCAATAGCTGAGGTTATTGATCTGCGTATGAGCTGAGGTAACGGATTTGTGGGCCTGGGTTTACTCTCAAATGGCACTAATACATGTGTAGTACTCCTAGATTTCCGATTTTGGTTAATAAAATATCCTCCTGGGGCCTACAAATGACACAGCCCAGCTCAGTCCCATGCAAACAAGGGCTAGAGACCAGCACCAACGCTCAGGAAACGCCGCTTGAAACTCAACATTTCGTTCCGGTCAACCCCGCAAGCTGCTTTCCGTCTGGCCCCGCCCGCTCGGCCCCCTCCGCTACCGGGTCCCGCCCCACCGGCCCCTGGTGCGCCTGCGCGGAGGCGGGGCGGTGCTTTGCCCTTTGTTGTGGGCCCCAGTTTCCCAGGACACCGCGCGGCGCTGGGGTGGGGCTATGCAGATAAGGCACTCGGGGGCGGGGCCGTTGCGGCGGCGTCGGTGGCGGCCGGGGAGGGTCAGTTGGAGGCAGGCGCTTGCTGAGGCAGGAGGAGGGCTCTGGGCCCGCGGCCTGACAGGGACTTATCCCGCAGAGATCGGCCCCGCGCGCGCGACCCCACACCCACCCACTCATCCATCTACCCACTCCCTGCGCCGCCTCCTCCCACCCTGAGCAGAGCCGCCGAGGATGATAAACACCCAGGACAGGTAACGGCCCGGTCCAGGCTCCCCGCCCCCATCCTCCCCTCGTCTGCTCCAGAGGGCCTCCTCCCCAACCACCCAGCCGGTTCTCGCCCCTCCTACAAGGCCCCAGCCGGCCGCCACTGGGTCCCTTCCCTACTTCAGCCACCCTAGTCCGAGCCCCAGCCCCGCAACTGGGCCTTCTTCCGTCCTTCAGTCTCCCTCCCTCCAGCCCAGCCCATCCCCCTCATCGCGGCGTAAAGCCCCCACGGACCGGGACCCAATCTTTCAGTCCTGTCCACATTTCCCTTCAGCCCCCCCGAACGGTGGCCCATTCCCCAAATTGTTTCCATCTTCCCCTTTGAATCACTTCCCTTATTTCAACTGCACCTTCCAACCAGATGCTGCTTTTATCGCTGCTCCTCCCCCCCCCCACCCGCCCCGGTCTGGCTCCGTCCTTCAGTTCTCAACTGGACCCCTCACCCCCGGCCCCCCGCCCCCCAGGCCTAATAGTCTTTACAGAGATGCCTGGCCCTCCCCTTGGTCCCTCACTCCAGCTTCATCTTTTCTCTCCCGTCCTCCTTAGACACCCCTTTCTCCAATTAGGCCCCGTTTCCCCTGTCTCCCAACATCATCATTTTTTATTTCTCACTTTGGGCTTGACTCCTGTCCGCCATCCTGTTCCCCTAATGCCTTTCCCCCTAACACTCTTCTAAATACTCCTACCCTTTAAACACTTTCTCTCATGACTGCTCTTACTTCTCCCATCCTAATTGAACCCCATTTCTAGAATATTAGATCACAGAACTCAGCCCATTCAGCTTCTGTTGAAGACCTGCTCTCTTTACCTGTACCTCCAGTACTTTCAAATTAGTCCTCATACTCTGTTCACTGGGCCTTTGCAAGTTTTCTCCCTCAAAACCTGACCCCAGCTTTTCCCCAGTAATTGTAGAGAAGGGCTGCACATCTTTCTGATACTGAGTACTGTAGTTTTCTAAAGTTGCTTCATGTATACTTCCCCCTGCGGACACTCAGCAGAGTTCATTATTCAGTTTTCCTTTCTCTACTTCTCTTTTTCTCCAACGCAGCCCTCGTCACGCACCTCTCCCTCCAGCATATCCCATATTTCTCCCCCAAATTCTTCTGTGAAATTGTTTCCTAATTCCCCATGACTTTTAACCCCAGCTGCTTATATATCAGGATGGCTTTTATATTTACAAACTGGGTTCTAATTCTCTTCCTCATTGTTTCCCAAGACTTGTTGCTGCCCCTTCCAAAATGAGCTTGAAGCTCATTAGTTCCCCACACCAGGGCCTTTGTCTCCAGATTTGGCCTTCTGGCTTCTGCCTGTCACTTGAGCCTCATTGTTTTGCAAGCGGACTCATTCCCTGCAGATCATCCTTAAGTTGTGCCATGGTCTGTCTAGAAGAAATGGATTTTAGTTCCTCTTAAAAACATAGCCCTCCTTATTGCTTTTGTTCACACAGAGCTCTTAACTACCACTCAAGGTTTCTCTCACACTTGGGTTCCCCTCTCACAAAAAGTGGTCTCTAACTTGCTATTTCCCATTCCTTTAGCAGCCCCATCCTTAAATATTCCATCTGAGTTTTCAGCTTTTTTTTTTTTTTTGCATCTCAGTGTTTCTCAACCCTAGGTGCACTTGTGAAAAATCAATCCCTTGGCCCCCACCCTTCAAAGATCTTGTGTAATTAGCCTAGGGTGGGGCCTGGTATTAGCATATATTTTGAAGCTCTCCAATGGACAACCAGGGTTGAGAAACACTGCCTCCTTTTCCTTCCCCTGAGAAGACCCTTCCCATCATATTCCTTTAGTGGGTGTCAGCCCTTTCTCCAAGGAAAAGCGTGTTGTCATCTTCAGGGATTTCTTAGTCCTTCTCTCCCAGGAACTCTCCAGAACTATTCCAAGATTTCTCCAGAAGTATGCAAGATATCTGCAGCAGCCTCTTAAATTCTACCTTGTTACACAGTTCTCAGCCATTAGCCACTTTCTTCTAAGTCTTAGACTCTTCTCTAACTCCCACATCCTTGTTTCTTCCCTACATGCAGAAAGAAAATTCACTCATTTCCTGGTTTGTAATGGTCTTGTTTGATCCAGTACCCCGACCTCCCAAGCCCTGTTTACCTACAGCCCCATTCTGGTGCTGTTTCCCTTTTCCAAGATTCTCAATGTCCATCTTCCTCTGCAGTCCCTTATTTCATTTTCTCTAAACCAGTCCTCTGGAGCTGAGGAGGTGGAGGTGGATATGTACTTGGGTGGTGCTGGATGCAAAAGATGTTCTTGTGGTAAGGAAGGCTGTGTGTGCTGAGGGTAGAAACCAGGTATGAGAGGGCATGATGAAGTGCAGGGGCAGAGGGAAGCTGAGGAACCTGCCAGAAATCCCACGGCTTTATGAGGTGGATTTTTCTTTTCTAGTCTTAGGTTCTTTTCTCTGCAGTGGGATTTGGAAAGTGGTGGTGCGATCTCAGCAGGCCTCCTCTAGAGTCCTCCAGACTGAACTGGTCTAGGTGCCAAATCCTTTGCAGCCTGAGCCCCAAGTGTTGAGCACTTGGGACCAGTTTATAAGGGTCTTCACCCACTGTGAGTTCCAGTCCTGGCTTTGCCAATGTGCTTACATGTTGAAAAAAGAGAGGATTGGGTTCACTTAACTTTGAAGATTTCTTCCAGACTCCTAAGTGGCAAAACAGGCTTGCTTGTCTCCAGAGAAGCCTTGCTTAGCGTGTTGGTAATTTGAGGGGCTTGGCTGTGTGAAAGGCAGGGGAAGGGAGGAGCCAGCTGGCCTGCGAGGCCTGGGCAGGAGCAGGGCCTTGGATCAGGCTCCTCCACTTTGGCCTGGGGGTGGGGTGGTGTGTGCAGGGTGTCTGGTTTCTTTGAGTTATGGCAGTCCTGTTTCTATAGCATGTTTCTGAGCCTTCTCTGGCCTGCCCCTGACTTTCTAAGAGGAATCCTGGTAGAGCTCTAAGGGTTTGGATTAACATCCGGATGTTCTTCCCAGTCAGTGTATTGATGTTTTCTGTCCACAGAGGGGCGAGCTATGGTTGAGCGCCCATTGGGTGGGGGATGGGCTTTGGAGCTTCACTGGCTTCAGTGAAATACTCGAGGTGGAGGCTTGGTTTCCTGGAAGAAACAGTTACAGAGGAGCCTGCAGTATGTTTTGGAAACAAGGCTCTTCCTTTCCAGTTTTGTTCTGATCAGTACCTCCAAAATATCAAAGTTCCTAATGGGGGGGGAGGGAAGAAGACACTAGTACAAGAACTTCATTATGGTTTTTGAGCAACAGGTTTAAATCCAAGTAAATCAAGCTTCATGGACCTTTCTCTCCCTGGGTTGTGGGGGCAGGAAGTGTCTGTCTAGGGCTTGCTTAGTACCTTTTGACAGTACAGTGTGTGGAGAAGAGCTTGCCCTGGCTTCATAGCCTTATAATCAGTCTGTGTCTGATGGGCTTTGAGGAGAAGCATTTGGTTCCACAGGTGGTTTTTCGGGGTGGTGGGAGCAGCCAGGGTACAAGGGCACATCCTAGTGACCCTGAGCATCTTCACTGAATGATTCCCTGAGTAATGGGATTTCTGTCTCTCCCACCAAGAATTTGATTTTGATTATTCCGTATTTATTGGCACTGGCTTGTTGGGTGTGGAGTGGTAGGGAAAGCAAGTGTTCCTTTGATGTGCCCTCAAGGTCATCCCCACAGAGAGAGAGAGAGAGAGAGAGAGAGAGAGAGAGAGAGACTCCTAGCATAGTCAGGAATCCCCCCAAATTGGAGATATGCTTTAGAAAGCTGTGTGGACTAATAATAGTAATTCCTCACTCTGCCAAGAAATCCAAATTTAGCCTCAGAGCAACTCAGAAATATAAAAAATGGGGACTGAGGTATGGGGTTGAGGAATGTTATATATGTGTATTTCTAGCAAAAAAAGTAATTCATCCCTTTTTGAAACAGGTACACAGTGTTGATTCAAGTTGATACCATGATTGGGAAGGCTGTGAAGCCTAATTGAAATCTATAGACCAGAAATGGCCAAGTAGGTTAGCAAGAATTTTGTTACTTGAAGTGAACAAAATAGGTTGTTTCTGGTTAGCAGCAGCGGAGTGAAATGCTTTGTATAAGATAAGCCTCCAAAAAAAAAAAAAAAAAGATAAGCCTCAAGAAAATTTCCCAGGCCTTTGATAGTATGTAAACAATGAAGTAATTCTATCCTGGGAAGAGAGGCTGGAACTGGGTGATGAGCTTACTATGCAAACTAAATTGAGGTATCTGAAATGCAAAGTTAAGGTTCTGTTTGGAAGCATGATCACCTAGCCATCTCCCCACCTCTGGCAGCATATGTAGTTTTGCCTACCTTTGGCGGAAGATCTAGCAGTATCAGCTGTGTAATGCGATAAGCAAATCTCAGAGACACAGATATTCTAACTGCCACCATAAGTGTTTCTTGTGGAAAATCAACCAGAACCCAGTGTTGCTTTCAGTCTGTGATTCAGAGTGGTGATGTCATTTTCTTTATAATCGTGCTTAGCAAGTAGACTCCCTTTGGCACACATAACAGCCCTAGTGAAATGACTTATGTCTGGCATCTGACCAGGCCCCTTTCTCATATGTTAAAGGAATCGGCAGCTGGAAATCAGCCTCTGTGCTCACACTAGACTGAAGGTGGCCATTCACCTCTCACCTTTCTTCCTATTTCTCTTTAGCTCAGTGCGATGGCAGCCCTGAATTGGTCTCTCTTTGCTGCATAGGGATTAGTCATCAGAGACATCTCAGAGTAAAAGCAGCCTGTGTGAAGGGTAGTCAGGGCCCCCTAGAGAGTACTGTGAGGCAGGGCTGAGACAGGAATGGGTCAGAAGAGGCTGAAAGAGGGGATTGAATGTAGAATGCTTGGGGATGTGGTGTTTTATGTCTTTTCAATTGATACCACAAGGTCTGTAATACCAAGGCCATCTGACCCTCCTCTGTCAGGCAATGGAAATCAGAGAGAGAGGATATAGACCCGATAAGCTTAGGCCACTGATTCAAG